GAGTGACGAACAATGGTCTTTGGTGCTGTTCATCGATGAGTCCCGGTTTGGGTTTCATCCAGATTTACAAATAACATGCGTTTGGAGAACTCTAGGGAGAGTTAGTCCTCTACGGCTCTCTCAGGAGGTCCACACATAACCAAGGCGGGCTAATCATTGTGTGCCAATTTCTGCAATATCTGCTCATGCACGATAATGAAGGAGCATTATCGTACCAAATACCAATACGGCACGGATACTAATAGTTTCAGGGGACCCTGAACATGTTTCTTCCCTAAACAATACGTTTTGTTTTATGCATATCCTCCTTTCATCAGCTTCCCATAATGTGTATCCCCCCGAAGCATACCTAACCGTTTTCAATTTCACACCACCATCAATATAGACATATGCAGACGACCAAAATATTCTAAAATTAGACACATTAAGACGTCTTCCCTCCCACATTTCAAATCGTGTAACATTAAGGTGAAACCTACGGACTGTTCCCAGCCATTCTCCCGCAAGATGGCGCTTAAGTCAACATTTTTAGTTTATTTGGATTTTTGTGTAATTGTAAAATTATCAAGTCGTAGGAGTAGACTTAGCGATTATCGGATATTACATTTTATTGGAATGGGTCATATCATTGCCTCAAAATCCACCCAATTCGACATTAATTTTGATTATAACTGTCATTGAATATAGTGTCGTTTACACACACAGACGTATCCCTACGTTTACGAAGCTAGAACACAGATGGCGTGTATGTAAAAAAACAAGTGTTTAATTTTTGTGTATGTGCAGATTGGGTAGGCAGAACTACAAAACGCTATGTACGATTGTCATAAAAATAAAATTTATATTTGTTGGCGTAAACTATTTAATTGATTTATAACTTTGGGAAATTAATTATGTCAACATTGATTACAATATAACGCAGTTTCATTTTATTACATTACACTATTGAATTTTTTATCAAAACAAAAGTATCTATTTCATCATCATTATCATCATCATTATCATCATCATCATTACAGCCCTTCACAAGTCCACTGCTGAAGTACCTATTTGAAGCAACATAATTATACTGATACATGCCTATTCACTCAAAACTAATAACACTGATGATCTATAACAGTACCAATTATTACAATAATTAGACATTTCATAACCAACACGTAAGAAACTCTCCAACGATTTTCATAAAATGTCGTTTTGTCCCCGTTTTCAGGCCATGAAAAACTGCTACAATATAAGAAGGTAAATTTTAACACTTTAATAATGATCGTAATAGCTCAAGTGGATAACGCACTGTCGTGAAATCGTTGTTCCCTGGTTCGCGTCTTGTCTTAGGATTGACTTTCTTCCCTTTTTTTCAAGTTCCCTTCTTTTGTGAGAAAATCTATTATTTCGAGCCCTTTTTGTAGTATTTTTTTAAAAATACGAAAATTTTATTGCACTCATGATTTTTTATTTTAATAACCAGTTCAGCTTTTTTCTATTATGTCGGTAAGATCAAAAAATATTCTTCATATTTTATCAGTATGTATTTTTAATCTAAATATAACTTCCAAAACACACGATTTCCAAAAAAAAAATACCGCGAAATACTCGGTCATCCAGGTACTATACAATACAACATCCCGTAGTCTGTATATATACAAATCTTCCTTCAATTCTATATGAATAGGGTTGCGTTCGGAACACAAGATCTAGAACACTAAAATGTACAAAAATTTACTTATCTTTTTATTTCAATGTTATCTTTATATTCCTGGTAGAATTGGCCGACGAATAAGAAAAATATAACTCAGATTAGAATAAGCTATTTATTTATAAACAATAAAGCACGGAACAGAAAAAAGGATTTTATGTAACTGAATTATATTTGTTTCTGAACGCACCATAAGGTATGACGTAGTGACGAGTGAACTTGAGCTCTACAAAATATAATGTAACCCGGCAAAACCATATTTAGCAAATGTTTGCAAGTTTAATTTTGTGACTACTTTGGTAGTTTACCGTTTTATAATAATTCTATTTATTGTTGACCAAAAACATATTCAAACACATTCATATATGAAACACTGACACGTATGACGTAGGTAATCAGTATTGTGATGATATTTCAGAAAAATCACGGGCCAGCCTGCTGTTAATAATAGGGGGAGGTCCCCGAGAACCGGACACTTAAGGAACAATAAAAATAAAAAAGAACGTATAATAGTCTCATTTGTTTATTTCACTTTAATAAGTTCACAACTATATACTTAATCAACACAGATATATCAACAGCCTCAAATCTTACTTTAAATGTAGTAGGTACTAAGGAACATATAACAAAGAAAAAATGACGTTTTTAAAAAGATCCCCTAATGACAGACAGCCAACTTTTCGTTCATTTTTAAACCTAAACATTACTTTAACAAACAATTCGTAAGAAAATCTATTAAAATTGATCAAATCAGCTGTTTATAAAGAAAACTATTGTTAATTGTAATTAACTTTGTTCATAATTGGGAACGGTTTCTGTAAAGTTACAAAACTTTAATTGTACAACCTGCAAAAATCACAAATATAGCTAACTGAGTTTTTTTCAATATTTCATATTTGGGGGTACTCCCACAACTCGGTTTGGGTTTATCCATGTTGAATCTGAAAAACAAAACACAAAAATTATAACTACAACAAAAATAAACTTACTGTAAAACTGTCCGGTATTAGGGGACTTTGAGAGTGTCCGAACTTAGGGACCCTTAGGTACATACAAGAAAAATTCTCATTCACATTATGTGTTATGAATCTTAAAAAAACACCTGGGTTATATCAGATTAGTACAATAGCAATAATAATTAATAACAATTATTATCCAATACTGCTTACAGAACCCAAAAAATTACTTCGAACAAAGTTTTTACTTACCTTAAAATTTGCTACACGCTCCACGCCGAACGAGTAAGCGCTAACTATTGACACGCTCCCCCCACACTTCACTTGGGAAACGCTTTCTAACCACGACTCAAGCAACAAATTGGCGCGCTTTTTCGCATTGAATCAAATTCTGTCCGGCTTTAGGAGCCGTCCGGGCTTAGGGGACTTCCTCCTACTACCGAAAACATAATTGCGTTTTTAGAATAATTAATTATTATACCTACGATAAATTACAATATAGTCTCAAATATATACTAAAAATATTGTACACAATTTACGCGAACACTACACATTGAATAAAACTAAATTTTCGGATTATATCGCGTTTATTTAACTGATTTTACTTATTTTTAATTCCCGACGTTTCGGGTGCTTTACAGCAACCATGGTCACGGGGGGGACTGAGATGTTTGACGTCCCAATGTCATTGTTAGCCCGGCTACCTTCAGTTTTTGAATATTAATTTTTGGCCCGATTCGAAATCCTGATAAGACTATTGGTTACACTGTGTATAGAAAAAAGACCCATACCAACCGATATTTAAATGGTGAATCTCACCATCATCCTTCAACAAGCTTCGGATCCCGCGCCTACGTCACTCCGTGGCGCAGTGGCTTAGCAATGAGTTACAACATAAAGGGCCGCGGGTTCGAATCCCGCACAGAACAAGTAGTTGTATGGCCTACAAGTAATTGCTCTGGGTCTGGATGTTTGTCCTTGTGAAATTTATGTTTGTAAATTGCCCCCACTATACAGGAGAAAATCCTAGTTTGGAGGTAACGTTGTTTAAAAAAATATTTAAAAAATATAAATTTTCCTTGACGTAACGAATTACTAACAATTTTGCCACCATATTTTTTCTTTTGTTTTTTTTTATTATTATTTGAAAATATAATAAAAGAGGTTTCAATCTATAACTATAATTTTTACGAAAACTAAACAGATTTTAAACTATAAAGTCATAAATAATATAGGTTTTTGGCAAAACTCTTTAGAAAGCTGTTGCTGCCAACTAAAAAAAAGTAGCGTACTAGGGATATTGCACTCTCGAGCTCGGACGCTACGTCTGAAGTTATGGGATTATTTAATTACTTATTTACGATGTAAATAAATAACTTACGGATAAACTGATACCGGGTGCTGATTGCGCGTGTGAAAATCTACAAATTTACATTGTTTAATTTTTTTTTACCGTCCTTTTTAAGCAAAAAATAAACATTTATTATTTCACAGCACCCGCTTAGTTTTTTAAAATATCCAAACAAATATTTGACGCGCAAAAAAATAATTAGTACCGATAAACATCATTTTTTACGCGCAATCGATTTATACTAGTCGCATTTTTAATGATTATTTCCGGGTGCCAACGTCATGGACCTCACAGTAATCTATGGTATGTTCCTTGCTTCCTTGATTGTGGGAGTTTTGGCAGGAACCACAGACTAACTAGTGGATTCTGGCAGGAACTTCGACGGATTGTTGCTTCTGTTTTGTCGCTTGAATAATGGTTTGAAGTAGATTTTGATACGTAAAAGTGATGCAATTTTGTGAATTAAGTGTCTGCGCGTAAGAACTATTAGAGAAAACGACGAAACAAGTACTTTGATGTTGATATAAACTTCAAGTTATTTTGATCGCTTAAAGCCTTATGAACTTGAGTGGCTGTCGTCATCAAATGTCCGCTGGGTTGAGCTGTCGTCAAAATCTCCCAAAAACTTCGCAATGTGACGCATCAGCGTATAGTGAAAAAAAAATTATAAAAATGAAGATTCCAAAATAAATGATAGGCTCAGAAAGGCTAGAACCCACCGCTGCGAAACCTGTTAAATAAAAAAATCCTTGATCGTAAATGATCGTAAAAATATCAACAACCATCAACAAAAATGTTTACATATTTTTAACAATTCTAAATTTTACAGATTTACGACATTCGTGTAAAATTTAATTTTGTACAATTTTAAACAACACCTGGATAATGAAATCAATAAATTATGTCTGATCTTAAGATATGTAGAATATGCTTACGAACAGGAGCAAAAGTATATAAATACGATCGATTTCAACTTAAGTATTATTATGAAGAAGTTATGGCTTTGAAGGCAAGTATTTGTAATTAAATACTACTTTAGGTCTATGTGTTAGTGGCGTAAGAGAATTCAATTTATTTTCTCACTAATGTAATAGTCATTATAGTCCTAATAAAAATTCCCACAACCGAAAAAAATCTACACCAACCCAACATCCAAAATTTCGTTATAATAATTGACAAAAAGAAATGCTAGGATAATTGTGGGGCTTCTAAAATACAAAAAGACAGATGGCGGACTCCCATCAATAAAGTTAAATATTAGTAGAATTTCTCCATCTGAGTCCTTATATCCGAATATGTCTATACAGCTGCATTAAGCTGCTTATACTGGAATTATGTGGTCTTTAAAATGCTTAACGGTTATAAGATAAAACATTGCTTTAAAAGCAGCAAGCAAAGTACTTATTTACATATTATGTGTCTTTCATATCTCCCTTATAATTAAACCTTATGGTGCTAGAAAATACTTATAGCGCCATCTGTAGAAAGAATAATATTAAACCATACTATTCTCTGGGAGAAGACATCTGAGGTAACACTTCCACTTGCTCACCCTGCCATGCATCCTCTTAGCTTAGCTATGGTCTTAAAGCTACTGTTACAACACTACATTCATAGTTTGAAAAACAGTTTTTTAAGTTAACATTAAAAAGAAAGAAGAGTATTATTTCAAAATTTCATTTTTTCTTTAACAGGTCAATGATAGTGATGCTCTACCACATTACTTCTGCTATGAATGTTCTATCATGCTACACAAATTTCATAAGTTTAAGGAAAAGTGCTACAGAGGACAAAAAGCTTTAAAAGAATTATTATGGGCAGGTCCTGTGAGTATTCTTTTGTCTTTAATATAAATGCCATTTGATTTTGAAATAATCTAGTATGGTTATTGAAGAAGTACTAGTCTTTTGTGAAGTTGCAACATGGTTATTCAGACAGATACAAGGATAAATTTGGATATAGCATATGTAGTACACGGACAACTTATACACACTAAATAAAACATGTTTTGCGCTGCTATTGGGCTACTTATAACTGTTTGTGTATTGTGCAGTCATACCCCTCATGTTTACAACTAATAATTGTAGCTTTGCATGTTGTGAACGTAGAATTTTTACATGCGGATGCGGATGCAAATATCAGCAACAACCCCTAGTTTTGTGTTAACCATGGTAGCCTCATACTGAGAAGTTCAGTGAAAGGCAATCACCCCACTAGAAAGAGAGACAGACTGAAGAGGCATATACAACTTAGGGACCCACAAGAAAAGAGTGTATTATTTTTGAAAGGCCAGCAATGCATCTACCATTGCCCTGGTGTTACAGTTGTTCATGGGTGGCGGTAGTCACATATCATCAGATGAGCTGTATGCTCATTTGCCTCCCTCTTCTATAAAGAAATGCATAGGAAGTCTCCTTTGTAGCAATCTATAAAGAAAGGTTAAAGAAAGTAGTATCATATGTGTGAGGCATTCAGCACTATAATTGCCAAAGTCTGCCACGCAAGACAGTTATGGCTAATCCTTACTGTTATATGTGTCCATGGCAGCAGTGGACTATTCATACACTAATGATAAATACACCTAGCCTTAAAATATTTGGTATTTACAAGTATTAATTTAATCATCTTTAGTTTTATGGTTACAGCCTATTAAAATCCACAGCTAAACATAGGCCTCCCCCATGGATTGGCCAATAGGGGGATATCAGTCATAGTGACCACGCTTGACAAGTGTGTTGGCAACCGCAGTTTTGAATTTTGATTTGTACGGTCTTATGAATACTGTATTTAACTAATTAATTTATTATTAAGTCTACTAAGGTTTACAATTAATGTTGCAATAAATAAAGACACGTGTCGTGTAAAAGGGGATATATTTGCGACTAATTGTTAACGTGGCGGATGCAGCCGCCACACCTGTAACTATTATACATATTACACATATATGTAGCTGTTATACTTAAATAAATAAGGGCATGATGTAGGACATCGGACAAGCGTTCTAAAGAACCCAGTATATTATATATAACACCTATATTGTGTCCCTACAGAGTTGTTATTAGAAAGACGCTGCTTCCCATCTTGTTATTTGTCTTCCTCTGTCACCTTTTACAACATCAATAGGATGATATAGGGTAGTGAATATTTTTACAGCCTATACTATGCTTTTACACTGAACTTTAGACAGGTTACAAAGATCTTATATAGCTGATTTTCTATACTACATCTAATAATTTATGTATGGTACGAATGACTAATTTAAAATAACATCCTAACTCATACCATAGGTCTGGGCTGGGCTCTCAATTTTCGGTGATATTACAATAATGTTCTTTATATTTTTAGTCTCTATTGCATTATTTCCATGCAGCCTGTTTTGACTGGGAGAGAATGCCAAAAGTCATTAAGTCCACCCATTATAATCCTTTTAACTAAGGTGTACAATTAAGAATAAATAAATAATGGTAGTGTTGTTAGCTAGTTGACTTTTACAGCTTCATCGGTCTCAAGGCTCACCTAAAGGACCACAAACTGAGCTTGGCTGACAATTTGTTATATATATGTAAGTGTGTGCATGTGTAGCTGCATGTAAGCGATTTTTATTTACGACCACCAACAAGTGCAGAGAAAAATAGTCTACAAAGCACTCAGTTGTTTCCCTAGACCTCCCATCCTCTGAAAAGCAACAAATAAACTCATTAATAACAATTGTTGTTTATTACCATTTATAGATCACATATGAATCAGTATACAAAATAGACAGAGAAAGTAAACACCTACAATCCGATTTAACAGTAAGGTTTGTGACTAACCAAATAGAGACTTATACCACAAAAGATATCAGGAAAGATCAGGAAGATGATATAAATAAAATAAGCGAGGACATAAGTGAACAAGAAAGTGATGAAAGTTGTAATAATGATGATAATACAGAAAATGATGCAATCAACAAGCAACCCAACAGCCCAGCCACAGTATTTATTAATAATAAAAAAGAATGCATGAAACTACAAAATGAGATGATAAAAGAAAGAAGAAAAATTAGAAATGCTGATGAGTTAAGACAAAAAAAGAAAACATTCGATACCAGCAAATGGGAAGTGTTTACATTGACAGAAGAAGAAGCTTTGAAGGAATTTAGGTTGAAAGCAGAAGATCAGAAGTATTTGACTGCAAGTTATAAATGTCAGGACTGTTTCAAGGGTTTTTCTAAAGAAGACATGTTGAAACGTCACATTAAATTAGGGCACAGTGAGGTATGTATACAATGGGTTACATTTAGTATTAACTTCCCATAAAGATATCAATAATTTGCCGGCGTTCTGCCTTTCGACATTGCGACACGATTAGAGAGAGAGATCAGTTACACGACATAAAACACACCCAACTTCCTGACTCCAGGCTACCTCTGAGAATACCTTGGCAGAAAAACCTTGACAAAAAAAATGAATTATGTACTGATCCAGGATTCAAATCCGGGACCACATGATCAGCAGTCGCGCAAACAACTACTAAACCAAAGATGCAGTCATCTACAGAGTAGATGTAAAATACCCAGACTGGCGATGAGCAACAGTGTCAGAGTCTCTCGAGATTTGGTCCAGTGATCGTCTATCTACCAGCCAAGCATGACGTTTAAGGCTAATCCTCCCATCAAAAGAAAAGACAAATGTTTAGGTGTGGACTTTTAAAGGCTAAAGTAGACGAAGTCGTATGAAAAAAAGAAGTTAATATTAACAATAATGATTTCTTATATAATTACGCGAACACTACACATTAAATAAAAACCACTTTTACCTGTTGGGTGCTTGCATTGATTTTTACGTGACATCGGTGCTTTGCAGCAGTGGCGAAGCCTCCATACAAGCCCAGAAGCCCGGCTTGCCTTATCAAGCTGAACCAATCAATAATATCAAGTTATAAAATAACTCGTAAACTGTTTCAAACTATTTCAAATTTCCCGCGCGCCACTCTGTGCGACCTCGTAGCCTTAGGAATACTGCTGTCATACATATAAGGAGAGTTGAATTGAGCCATTGGTTGTCTCCCTCGCACACGTGTGCTTTTTACCGGGCTTTCGAGAAGGCGATCGCTCCCTTTCTAACCTGTGGCAAAATGTTCTATAATGTAACATAACTACGATTGTATAAATAGCAATTAGTAAATTGAAGTCATAAAAAGCCCGCCTTTTTATTGACCATCAATTTTTTCCTCAGAGCGGGACGCCTTTAAAATTATTATAGTTTTAACACTTTTGACTGCCTTTTAATGGTCGTAAACGCAATTGCTGATCATGTGATCCCAAGTTCGAAACCTGAGTCGGGTCAAGAATCGTTTATTGCGTTTTTCTGTCACAAAATTCTCAGTAGCAGTAGTATTACACTTGGGCAATATAATCCAGATGCGCAGATGGCTATTTTCCGTTGAGAATGGCCTTGTTACCAAAATTCAATCTGAAGCCCTTTAATATAGGTTTATAAATAAAACACATAGTTGTTTGAATATTTTAATGATCTAAAGTGAATTCTGAACATCAAATAAATACTAATTGGAAATAACTTACGTTATTTGATAATTTATTGTAGATTAATTAAAAATTGTCACTTCGTAACTTTAAATTCAAAAGTGTAGCTTTTCAGAATAATCACGTAACTATACAAGCCATGCTGGCAAACCTGGTACGCGCGGTGTCACAATGTTGGCACGGGTTACAGAGTTTGAGCATGATTGTTACGCTTTTGTTTGTCAAAGCTGGACATTTTTACGTATTTTGGAGACAGCGCGACACAAACCTTTAAATCGGGAACGTCCTGCCTAAAAGGGGACGTATGGTCACTTTTGGTATGAAGTTAGTCGAGACGCGGAGGCGCGCGGGCGACGCCGACTATATGTTTGCAAGTTCACGTCACATTTCAATGTTTACGTTGTGTGTTAGCTTGAGCGAATATAATATTATAAAGTAAAATATTGTGAGTTGAAAATATATACTTTTTAAAAGATTTTTAGTGAAAATGGAGGGAAAGAGTGTTCTTTGTGATGAATATAAGTGTATTAAAGTGCTAATGAGCGAGGAAAAGTAAAATCTTTAAAAATAAAAATTTTAATTCAATAAACATTTCTTCATACTTTAATAGGTACAGGGCTCTTTAGTATTAAAGTTTAATTATTCTAGGTGTATTTAAAGGTTTAATAACTCAATACTTTAATTCAAATTCAAATTCAAATTGTTTATTGCATGTCACATTACAAATTTAAGATGGTACAATTTTAATCGGTATACATGTGACGCCCCGCAAGGGCATAGCAACACTAGAGGGCTAACTATTTTCGTATTATCTAATTTTTAAACATAAATTACAAATTATCATATCATCAACATTCGATATTATTTTATATAAATTAATTTAATTTGAAACACAATGAATAGTCTAAGTATTCTTACTTTATCGTTATTTATCGTCAAAAAATTCATTTAAATTATAGTAACATTTATTAATAAGAAATATTTTTAATTGTTTATTAAATTGCACAGGATTTTGCAGGATTTTTATGGAATTTGGTAAATGGTTATAAATCTTTATTGACATAACGTGAGGGCTGTTTGAAACTAATTTTAATTTGGAGAAGGGTATCTTAAGCTTATATAAATTTCTATTATTTCTTTTAGTCTTTTTAATAGGTGAGTAGAGTTTTGGGTGCTTCCTAACAAATTTACAAGATTCTAGGATGTAGATAGATGTAAGTGTCAAAATCTTATTTTTAATGAAGTGGGGTTTACATGACTCCATTTTGTCCAAATTTATCAATATTCGTAGACACTTCTTTTGTAATATAAATAATTTGTTTATATCACAAGAGTTTCCCCACAAGATGATGCCATAGGAGAGTACGGAGTGAGCATGTGCATAGTAAGCCGCAAGGGCAGTCTTAAAATCTGTCACACGTTTAAGGTGTTGCAGTGCATAAATAAATGAGGATATTTTTTTTGCAACTTTTTGTACGTGCTGTTTCCAACTCAAATGTGTGTCGAGGTCTATTCCTAACAAAGTGCCAGAGTTAACAGTTTCTAGTTTTGTATTTTTATAGTTAAACGATATTTGTAAACCAGTTTTTTGGTAGGGTTTAAATTGAATAATTTTAGTTTTATTAAGGTTAAGTTGTAAATTATGTAATTGTAGCCAGCCAGTAATTTTATCTAATGTATAGTTCAATTTTGTAGTTAAATCTGTGGAATTAGTGCAAGAGATTAATATGGAGATGTCATCTGCAAAGAGCACGCATAGATCGTCCAGTATGTTTGGGAGATCATTTATGTAAATAAGAAACAAAATACAACCCAAAACGCTACCTTGAGGGATAGAGCCAGAAATGAGAGTTGCATCCGATCTGACATGAGTAATTTTGCCTGTCTCGAAGTTGGTATTTTCAATTTCTACATATTGGAAGCGGTTATCAAGATAGGATTTGAACCAATTATGAGCTATTCCCCTAATTCCTGTTTGATACAGTTTTCCCAATAGAGTTCTATAACAGACTCTGTCATAGGCTTTACTCATATCGAGCAAGAGGCCTACTGCGATTTTTTTATCGTCGATTTTGTCTAGGATGCTTTTTACATATTTATAAATTGCTAAGGTAGTGGAGTGGTTTTTCCTAAAGCCATGTTGGTTCACGTGCAAAATATTATATTTTTCATAAAATGAACAAAGACGTTTCGCCATAGCCGCTTCAAATATTTTAGCAGACGTAGGTAACAGAGCTATAGGTCGATAATTATTTATGTCAGTAGTTTCGCCCTTTTTATGCAAGGGTTTGATTAGAGATATTTTGAGGGCATCTGGGAAGATACCTTCTGAAAAAGATTGATTTACCAATATTGTATAGGGGATTGTTAACAAATCAGCACAACTTTTAATCAAAATAGGAGTCATTTCATCAATGCCGTAGGATGATTTATTTTTAAGATTTTTTATTATGGTATTCATTTCATGAGTTTCTACTGGGCTTAAGAAGAGAGTGTTTTCGATGGATTTTGTTAAAGTTGTTTTATTTAAATTACAGTTATTTGAGTGTAAATTTCCTATAGATGCATAAAAGGTATTAAATAAGTTCGCTACTATTTTAGGATCACATGATATATGTTTATCTGTTATTTTTAGTTGAACATTTCTATATTTTCGTGAATTTTTGTTAGTCTTGTTATTTATGATTTGCCACATAGTTTTAGTTTTATTTTGAGAATTTTCAAATTTATATTTGTTACATAATTTTTTGGATAAATTGATGGCTTTTTTTAATATTTTACAATACTGTTTATAATGATATTTAAAATTTTCATTTTTGGTTTTGGAAACCAATAACTTTAAAAAATCTTTTTATAGCGACACGATGTTTTTAATCCTACTGTTAAATAATTTTTCTTTGGAGAAATATTTTTATTTTTATTTGGATTTTTGGTATACATTTATTTAAAGCTCTTTGTAAAATTTCACTAAATATGTCATAATTCTCATTTACATTTTTATTAGGTTTAAGTTTGTCATCCCAATTTATATTAGAAATTTCATTTTTGAATTTAGTTATATTTAAGTTATTGTATATTCGTTTATTTAATAAAAATTGCTTTAAGTTTTGTATTGGAGACGGTATAGAAATTAATAAACTACAATGATCTGAAAAACCAAATTCATGAACAGTTATTTTCATATCCTTTAATTTAAAATTAATAAAAAGTAGATCAATGCATGTGGAGCTGTTTGGTGTAATTCTGGTGGGTTGCTTAATCTTTTGGTGGAAGTTATACGATAACATTAAATTAGAGAGCCTATTTTTTTCGCTATTATTTGTTAGGAAGTCTACGTTAAAGTCGCCACCTATGATAATATTCTTAGAATAATCCTTTTTTGAGATGAGACTCAAGAGTTTTTCTAGACGTGAATAGAATACTTCGATTTCCCTTTTGCTATTAGGCCAGTAGAGGTTAATAATTAACAGGTTTATTTGAGAGATTTCAGTACTTATATTATCATATGAGTTAAAAATATCATTTTGAATAAAATCATTGTTACAATCTTTTTTTTTAATGTGAAGCCCAAATTTTAATTTAATAAAATAAATACATCGTGTATTGAGGTTTTTATAAAATATTTCCTTTAGTCTTCAGTATATTAAATTTTAATAGCGCCACCTACTTAATTCTATAGATGAAGTCATTTTATCGAACGAAAATTGATTGATTCTACGGTCATACAACATA